CTACTTTGCCAAAGGTGGCTCAAAAATGTCTCCCATTGTTTATCTATCCTAACGATATCCCTTCCCGCGTTTTCAACCCACCTCCTATGCCCCAGTACAGCTACTGTCCTTTCCTCTCTATTCCATGCCTCAAACATCTCCGTGTACGTCCCATCTATTTTTCCCAGCTCAGTCACGCACACTTCCCTCTCCTTCTTGTACAACGGACATTCCGCGACTACATGAACACGGTCTTCGCATTCGAAGCCGCAATCACATTTGAACTTGTCGTCTTCGTCGTCTACCGTCCTATGTCTTCGTCGACGTTCTCGAGGCCTATGTCCCCGGTCCTGAATTTGACCTTAAGCTTTGTTCCTGCATCCATTGGTCCATGTAGGTAGTCCTTGAACCCTATTCCTTCCTTCAACATTCCGTACACTTCTAGACCCTCCTTATCCTTGAATTCTTTCCTTAGATTCAGTTCTCTCTCGGCACAAGCAACATATATATTCTCCTTGAACCCCTGTAGACCCTCCGTTTCCAGCGTTTCATCTTCGTCGATGTCGAGCCCCTTCCATACGTCCTCTACAACCTTGACCCATTCCGTGGGTTGTCTACCCCTCTTTTTGTTTGCCCACTTCGCCTCCCATACAATTCTCGGCAACCTCTCCTCTCCCATCCCGCACATGCGATACTGCCAGGTCAGCTTCCTCGCGTCTCTTCCCGACCGTAGGGATTGGATCCCCAATTCTGCCCTGACGGCTGCATTACTTGTGCGCTTGGAGCATCCAAGGATGACTTTCGCTGCTTTCATCTGCGCCGCTTCGAGTTCTTTCACTACCTTTTCATTTGCTTCCCATACTTGTCCGGCGTACTCTAGCGGCGGTACGATTACGCTATTCAAAATCGTCCATTTGATGCGTGTATCGAGGTGTCGGCATGCGAGTATTGGGTGCAGCTTCCCTGCTTGTGCTTTGCCCTTTTCCGCCACCTTGGACATGTGTGCATTCCACGAGCAGTCTTTTGCGATCTCTACTCCGAGGTATGTGCACTGGTCCACTGCTGCAATCTCCTCGATTCCCCACTTCCATCTATGTTCTACTGGTTCCTCCTTGTTCTCGTTGCATTCCATGACGGCACTCTTCTTAACGTTGGCAGACAATCTTCACTTATCAGTGAGCTTCTTCGCCGCGTCAGTTTGCAGTTGCAGTCCCTCAAGGGTGTCCGGCATACCGACAAAATCATCCGCAAACAGCATTCCTGAAACCGACGTTTCCGTGTCCCCTACTTTTACTCCCTTCCGGACTGCCTCTACGACTTCCAACAGAT